GGTTTTGTTTTCTTTCTGCAGATGATCATGAAAGTGGAACAAATTTATTAATTTATTCATTCCATCCTTCTCCCAAAGTATGAACATTTCTTGTAAGTCACTGCACTTCCCAGGACTTTGCCCAACATAGATTCAAAAGTCACATGTAACATGGGTTTCAATAGTTCCCATGGGAAAATATGCAGCTTTATGAAGCCTACATCTCCCACATAGGTGGGGAGGAGATCTGCTTATCTCTTTAGCTCAGAACCAAGATCAGGACTTTTTCCTCGGGGGTGGGGGGGGTGGGGGGGGGCAGGGTGGATCATTTACTCTTCAAACATTCACAAAACAAAGGTAATCCACCATCTTCCTCCAGGGCATGCCACAGAATCCATCTTCTTTTCCAAACAAACTACTAAACTGTGTACTTTATGAATCACCCTGGGTAGTGGGTTTACCTCTTTCACCAAACAGTTGTTCTTAAAGGAACCCTTCTTGTGAACAGAGTCAGTTACCCAGCTAGCTGTCACTCCACATCTCCAGTTTTTATTATGAACACAGAGAAACACATTCACTGCCTACATATATAAAATAATTTTTTTTCTTTTTTTTTTATTCAATGTGCTGCACTTGTGCTATTCCTCACTAACATACTACATGCTGTTTCTCATTAATTTCTAATAATATCCTATGTATTTAGAATATCTGTTTAGTCCACACTCATATTAATAAAATGGCTCAAATTCCTTACTGTGGGAAGGAAAGAATGCATTTCTATTAATACTGAGTATCAACACACTCCAAAAATGGTCTTGTACTGGACACAAGATTATATATTTATATAAACAAATTAAGATTAAAAAAAAAACCACTCAGACATGCCATTAAACTAACCTACTTATGCCAAATCTGCTACTGTTATTAATGTGGATTAAACCATATTGCTAAATCAGTAACAATTTTCATAATTACTATATACCATTATGCTATTATTAAATACGAATAGTCTAAACACTTATCTAACTACCCCATTGTGATGGGCTCTGTCAAAACCCAAAACACAGTTCTATAACCCTAAAAATATTTACAGGCAATCAACTTTTATTATTAAAGTGTCCTTGTGAGATAAGAAGTAAATGGAACAAAAAAACCTAGTCAGCAGGAAAATTCAAGTAATAATAGAAAAGGAAACTTTTTACCTGGCTGTCTGTATCTTCCTTCACAAGTTACAAAACTTGTAAGAGATAGGATAGTCTATCCATCGATAAAAAATAGATCTGTACTGATAACTCTAAAGTCCAATGTGATCTGGAAGTTGGGATAAATCGTTCACAGATATAACAATGGCATTCCAAAAAGTTAAACCCAAAGTTGATTCTAAGACTTGCAGAAAGATCCTGCGATATTAAATCGCATCTGGTAAGATGGCAAATGAAAACTGATGTTTACAAATGTTATACGTAACCTACACCAACTACTTACAATGAGGAGCATCTGTTTAGTTGTTATTAATCTGAAAAGACATCTTAGAAAGCTGGTGAAGTATCATCTACCTGAAACTTCAACTCTGTACTCAGTGGAGGTCAAAAATTACAGAAAGTCACTAGAATCAAGACATGAGTAGAGGAAAATTATTTACTACATACTTCAGAATGGCTGTACTATATCAAAACACCTCAAAAAACCACAAACCCAAAAACCAAAACCCAAAAGCCAGAAAGAGGTTTAGATTAAGCAAAACATGGATTAATCACACACAAGGGAAGGCTAACCAAAATAAAACATTTCATTTGGAGAAAATCCTAACCAAACCTGTAACTCAGAGGGTTATGGTAGATTTTATGAATGACATTGAAGGAAAGAGCCATAAAATACATAAAACCCAACAATAAATAATTTTCAAGAAGATCTGAAATAATCTAAGATTGCTTCAATAATCTTAGTGCACAAAGTGCCAGAAACTAAAATCCATCGACCAAACTGGCTGCAAAACCAGTACAGAGAAATGATAAAGCCATGGTAGAAAACCCAAAAGAACCTCTGAGTCTTGTGTCCCTCTGTTGGAACACTTCATCATTGGCCTTACTTCTTATCTGTTTCAAGTGGAGATGTTGTCTTAAAAAGAAGTTCATGACATAAAACAAACAACTTCGAGACAAATTCTCAACAGACACTTCTTATGCAGGAAACTCAAGGACACAGTAATTTGTACAGTGCAGTGAAATTCTAACTGCTGGCTTAAAACTTTCTTGGCATCTAAGAAGTAGATTGTATCAAATATTACATTTGTTTTTTAATTGTTTCTAAGGGAAAGCTGGAGAACTCGTGACCATTCAAAGTGATACTATTCCACAGAGAGTAGTACAACTATAATTAGTGCATGCGTGGGGAGATGTGATTTACCAGGGAAAGGTCAACAAAGGTTTTGTCAACATTGCTCTTGCCAAGAGAAGTCTTGCCTTATAAACTCAGATTGAAGTCTTTTGAATGTGTCAGCAAGCACTTGCATAAGAGGGATTGCAGAGCTACAGTTTGCTGAGATTTCTGAAAGACTTTCAAGACTTTCTTGCTAAATGTTCTAAAGGAGACTAAACAACCACAGGACAAGAGAGAGGATCCCAGCATGGATTGAAATACAGTTAAAAGACCAAGTATATGGTCAGTTTTCACTATGAAAACAAGTCACTAATGCACCCTCACATCTCTGCACTTATTCATAAATACTCCAAGTAAGATAAGGAGTGACAAGACAAAGATTGCTGAAGATAAGTAATTCATGAAAGGAGAGAAAAGGTGTGGCTGAGAATTCCAGAAAGACCTTCCTCTATTTAGGGCTCACACACACCCACTGATGATCCACGATATGGGGGACACATTTGCTCCGGCACAGGACTCAACAGGGACCCCCAGATTCTTCTAAAGCTTCACTCAGACCCTCTGTGTCATCTGGAGTAGCACTGGACACCTCCATGTGGGCAACTGAACAGAGATCTCGGTGCCTGGCAGGAAAACAACAGATGATCATGAAAACAGACAGATGTAAATCCATGCACATGGGAATAAAACAGTCCTGCATCACATGTGGAATAATGCTGTCTGAACTGACCACTACATGTCAGGAGGGAGAGCTGGGAAGTTTAGTGTTATTTGTAGGACAATGCCAGCTCAGTGGAGATCAACAGCACATTGAATATTAGAAATATTCACAAGCAATACTGAAAACAAGGCAGGGAATGTTGTTATGCCACTTTATAAATCTACTAGATGCCTCTGTCATGAACACCATACGGAGCTCCAGTCCCACCGTCACAAACAGGAATAACAGAAATTGTAAAGTTCATAGAATAGCAGCAAACACTTAATTGGAAAAAAGATTTCACTTGGACTTGTCAGAGTGCAAGAGAAGCCTTACCAGACTGCAAGGACATTTCATGGAGGCTCTGAAGTGGTGACTGGCATAGAGAAGGCAAACTTGATGTACTGTCCTTTCCCAAGCAAGAAGCAGGGTCAGGTCATCACATGGTGTCACAGAATGTCAAGTTGAAAACCAGGAAAGTGGCCATTCATACACACAGAGACACTGTGGGAGTCCCTGCCACAGGATGATATGGATGCTACAAGTTTACAAGCAGTAGGACACAGAAATCACAGAAATCATAAAAATCACAGAAAGGACAAAGTTGGAAGGGACCACAGTGGATCATCTGGTCCAACCTCCCTGCTTAAGCAGGGCCATTCCAGAGCACATGGCACAGGAATGTATCCTGGTGGTTCTGGAATATCTGCAGTGAGGGAGACTTGACAGCTTCCCTGGACAATCTCTTCCAGTACTGAGTCACTCAAACAGTAAAGAAATTCCAACTCGTGTTCAGCTGGCACTTCATGAGCATCAAATCAACTGAACAAACATATGGAGGAGGTATTGTGAGGGCTGCTAAGCAAGACACAACCTCTGATTTCAGGAGTCACTAGATGCAAATTGTTGGAAGTTCAAAGCAGACCCACTGGAAGTTTCCCCAGAAGTTTCACCTCTTACAATCCTCTCGTCTTTGGGGACAAGAACTGGGAGACACACTCTTACTTTATGTGACGCATCTGCCTTTATGGTGCTATGAAAAATTAAAAAATGAGTGATTTTATTGATGCTTTTTAAAATATTTCAGGTTAACTAATGAGTAGCACAGTTTAAGCAGGATGGGCAATGGGGACATTTTTTTTCTCCATTTTTGCTGAGTACATCACTTACAATCATCTTTGCTAGAGGCATCTGCAAAAGGTAAGAGATCCACCTAATTCTGGAGAACATTAACCAGAGCACTTCAGCACAGCTGCAACACAAGTTGCAACACATTTTCTGAGCTTTTATCTCAATAAGGCACGCTCTTTGGGAACAGTTGAGCCATAGACCCATCACTTATTATTCGTACTAAGTGCCACAATCCTCAGTTCTGCTAAGGAAACGACGCAAAACCTTGGAAAGTCACTGAGTAGTCACTCACATGGGCAGGGGAGAAGCAGCAAATGCAGTTGTGAGTGGCATCACTGAGAGTGCAAGGCCTGAGAGCACCAGGGTCCTGTCCAGGCAGATCCACACCTCAGAAAGGGGCTGTCCCAGAGAGCACTGCAGAACCCAGAGCCTTATCCCTTTCCAGGGTCTGTTTCTGCCCTGGGGAGGCCGTGAGGGGGCTGTGGTAAGGATATGCCGAGAAAGCAAGCGCTCTCAGAGGAAGAACAGCATAGCCAGCGAGCAGGCACTGGAACAGACTGTCCAGAGGCTGTTGTCTCCGTCCCTGAGTACACTCAGGAACCATCTGGATGCAGTCCTGTGCCATGCGGTCCAGGATGACCCTGCAGGAGCAGCGGGGCTGGACCCGAGGCCCCGCCGCGGTCCGTGACACGCAGCCCCGTGCCGCCCCGTGCCGCGCCGTGCCGCGCCGTGCCCCCCCGCCGCCCCACAGCGCAGCGCGCACCGCCCCCGCACCGCCCCCGCCCAAGATGGCGCCCCCGGGCGCCCCACAATGCCCCGCGCGCAGGGCCGCGCTTCCGGGTGCGGGCCGCGGGGGGCGGCGGGCCCGGCGCGGCGGGCGGAGCGGCTCCGAGCGGATGCGAACGGCGGGCGCGCAGCACCGGAGGAGGCCGCGTCCGGACCACGATGCTTCGACTGTGGCTGGTCCCGGCCCTGGTGCTGCTGTGGGGGCCGGGCGGGCTGGAGGCGCTGGGGCGCCCGCAGCGCTACGGTGAGGACAGGGCGCGACCACGGCAACCCCGGAGGGGAGAGGGGAGGAGGAGGGAGAGACCGCTGGGACGATGGTGGGGAGGGCGCGGCAGCCGCGCCTCTGGCGTGGGGGAGCGGTGGGCGATGTGTGGGGCGGGCAGAGCGGCCCTGGAGCGAAGGCATCGCTGGCGGGCAGCGCTGGGGTCGCCGCTCTGCGGGGAGACACCGCTGCCTTCACACTCGGTCTGCTGAGGAGTTTCCTCACAGGAGTTCGCGTTCCGTTGAGGCGGGACAGTCCCGGTTGGTGGAAGGGACCGCATTGCTCCAGTGTCCGTGCTCCTGCAGGGTCATCCTGGATCGCATCCCACAGGATTGCATCCAGGCGGTTCTGGAATATCTCCAGGGAGGGAGGCTGCACAGCCTCACTGGGGAAAATCATATAAATGGCCTCCCTTCATAGCTCTGCTTGCAGAGTCACCAGAGAGCCCGAAGCCATTGGAGCTGAAAGTGACCTCTAGAAAAGCTTGACACGGAGGAGAACCGCTGCTTTATTTAACTTCTATAAACAGTTTTGCGTCTAAGCTTCTGCTTTGCATTGAACAAGTTGCAGACTTTCGTTTGATAAGCAAAAGCTTATCACTGAAATGGAAGATGGATTCTTGCACGAGGCAATGGCCAGGTCTTGCCCTTAAGATCTGTATCTTGCATACTTCTTGGATCCTTGTCTTCGCTCCATTTTTCCTTTTCTCTGTATCATGGTTCCTCATCACTGGAGCAGCAGAATTATTGTTTCCTTTGAAAGGTTTTTAAAGGAAAAATATCTGACCCCCACATGAAAACCCCTGTTTTGAAAATCAAAGGTACAAAAACAACTTTGCGATAACTTCTGTTGCTTTCCTTGAGCCCATTGTTGTGTGGGGTGGGGATTCACATTGGGATGATACTGACATTCAAATGAACAACTGAACTGTCTAAAGGCAATCTCTGAACACTGTTCCAGTGATTAATCAGCTGTACATCCCCACAGAGATAGCTGTCCTGTCTCCAGTCACCAAGGCCAGCAGGGACTGCTCCAAGTCTCCTTTCTTGGCTTAGATCTCTCAGCACATTTCCTGAGAGATGTCTGACCTCTGCCCTCATCTCCTGCACCTGAGGTGGATCTGTGCACACCTCAGCAGTTTGTGGCCGTAGGAACATGGGAAGGATGGGGATCAGTGGTGGATGCCCCAGGAAGTGTAATAGAAATAAACAGAGCGTGTCCTTTCAGCATCAGGCAGGTCAGGGGGTCCTGAACAGCGGTCGCAGCTTGGGCTGTCAGACCTTCACACCTTCTGAAGGACCTCTCTGCTATGAGTTTGTGCAGTCTTTATCTGGTGGCTTTTATCTTCTTGGCCTACGTACCACTGTGCCTGGACTATGAGCTCTTCAATTTTATGAAATACTGCATGGAAGAAAACCTCATTTCTTCTGTTTCTAAATGTTGGAAGACTTATTCATTTTTTTCACATCTGTAGTGACTTACATACCTATACAATTTATCTCATTTGTACTACTGTTTGTTGTTTAAGTGATAAAATATTAGTCCATATAATAATTCTTAGTATGAGGAAAGCATCCTGACTTTATTTATTACTTTTGTCTATATATTTTGTGTTGGATTTTTTATTTATTTGAGATGTATGGTCAGGGCTGCAAGACACCATTTGTAATACAAAGGCAATAGAAATTTATAATTATGAATGCTTTTGACTTTGTTTCCTTTCTGAGTAATTTTTGGTCTTTAATAGTCACTCCAAGCACTCTTTTCTTTGTGTTTTGTTTGTTTGTTTGCTTTAGAGTTATTTTCTTGGGGGGGGGTGGGGGGTGCATTTGTTTGTTTGTTTGTTTTCTTTTGGTGGGTTTCTTTTGGGGTTTTTTTTTGTTTTGCTTTGAGTGGTAATAATTGTACTGATACACTTTGTTGTGTAAATACAGTGAGGAACTCTTTTCCTCACATGTTATTTCACACATTCACACTTTGAATTTCATCACATGTTTTGTTTTGTTGTCCAGTAAACTAAATTTACAAAAGTATTTTGTGAGGGAATTTGAAAAATCTATGTGTGCTACATTAGCTGTTACTTTTATCCACACACTACTGCCAGATATATATATACACATATATATATATATGTATAGGAGGCACTACTTTCATGGTATCTTATTTAGCCCCCCCAGGTCTAGTAATTTACACGTTGTTGTTATTGCTACCTGTTTGCTATTGGGACATTTAATGTATTTGTTGATTAGGCCCTTAGGTAGTACCTGGAGTGGAAATTGGTCTGTTCAGACCTCATGCACTACACCAGTGGCTCTTTAGTCTCATACCACAGTTAGGAGTTGACCAGTTCTATTTTTGCAGTGTTTTGTAACTCTTGGAGTAATAAATTCATATCCTGTTGATTTATTGGTCATTTTCTTGAGTTGTTATAAAGCCTCTTTTCCTGATTCTTGAACACAAGTCTTTACATGTACCCTATCATGGCAAAAAGTTACTTTTGGGGAACTTTTTATCTCCTCCGCAGTGAATACCAAGGTCAGTTATTGGCACTGGCCTTCAGCATCCATTCTTGGGACTGTCTTTGCATCTTACTTGTTTTACAAGCCCCTTTGGTTATTTAGCTGTGTGGTTTCTTCTCATAAAATGAAAAATATTTTAAGTATTAGCTTTCTGCCTTTTATAAGCTGCTTTTAAAAATACCTTTGCCTATTTTATTGTGGTTTTATGTTCATCTTTTGTTGGAGTTCTGTTGTCCTCATCTTACAGCTTGGTTTTCTAAATATCATCTTTTCCTTCTAATAATTTCAGTGTTATCATTTTGAAAGTTTTATTTATTCACAGCTTAATTTTTGGGAACCGAAATCAGATTTCTGCTGAGCACTGTAAGGAAGTTTCATGAATTAACATTTTGTGATTTCTATTGAGAACTTCTCACTTATTACTCTGAGTTCAGTTTTTCAAGGAGGAAAAAAAATTATACAGTGAAAAAAATAATTTGACAAAGAATAGAATAAGTGATAAAATTATGTGGGTCATTTTCCGGCTTTTTTTGGCTGAAGTAATCTTAGGGTGTGGTGCTCCAGGAGTCTGAACTGATCTAAAATGAGACTGCCACAACCTGACCTCAGCTTCCCAATCCCTTCCCCATTCCTGTGAGCACATTCATGGAATGTGAGCTGTCTGGAAGTTAATCTCTTTTTTTTGTTTGGTTTTCCCCCTTTTGTTTTTGTTTTGTTTTGGGGTTTGTTTGGTTTCTTAATCAGTTTTTTGGCTTTTTTAGTGGTTTGGGGTTTTTGTTTGATTGGTTTTGGTTTATTTTCAGTAAAGGATATATTTTCTCTCTGTGAACTCCATTATTGTGGAGCAGCTCACAGTGTGACTGTCCAAGCACCTGCCCCGTTGTTTTTGAGGGGTGGAAAGGGTTGTGTTCCAGGTGAGGGATGAAGGCAGAATGATTTCCAGCTCAGTTTGTCTTTAGGTGTACTCTTTTTAATAATGTTGACATCCGGGATCAATTTCTAGAGAAATGGGGCTCTACTACGCAATACAGTGACTGATACTGTAGTTTGGCCCCAGAAAAATTAATGGCAGCTCTTTCAAGAATTTTCTCTTTGTTATCATTTATCTCTGAAGATAACCTTTTATATCTATAAAATATTTATGCTGTTTGTCTTGAAGTTCAAACACATCTGAATGGTAACAAAGCTTAATGTACTTGAAAAGAGTAGCAGTGCAGATATCCAGCTCAGGTGCTGAATAGGCGAATAGGTCACTGAATATATCTAAAGATTTGCCAGAATCTGTATTACAATACAGTGGTACAAGTTGTGTGCTGCCACTGTGCAGCATTTGTGCAGGATTGCCCCCAACAGAGTCTGGATGTAAAATGTGTCTTACTCTACTGTTGCGTCTTTCGAATGAGAACTTTTTGTCTCAAGCTAGGTGGGGAACTAAAATAAGATAGTTCATCATTTGCTTTACAGATGATATTCTTTAAATCACTAACTGGAGATCTTTTTCTACCTGCCAAATTTCACTAAGAAAATCTGAGGCAGGTACCCTGATTTTCACCAGTTTTTTCTCTATACCACAGAAATACCACACCGAACTCCGGAACAATTGCATGAGCTAGAGAAATGGTACAAATGGTTCTGTGCAAACCTACCTAATGCACATCAGAAGACTCGGATTTAGAAGATGTTGAGTGAAAAAAAACAAATGGTAGTGGTATTGATGAATGAACCAGGGCAACTAAGTGATACAGAGGGCAGCATAAAATGATTTGAAATCAGTTTAGAATTTTTCACACTTGTTGTGACAAAATGTAGGAAGTCCAAAGGCCAGGAACATAACTTGCTGCCAAAGAATTTAGGGATTGGAAGTTTAGCTCAGTGTCAAGAATGTGCAGTGAGATAATTAGTGACGAAAATCTTAATGCAAGGTTAAATTTTATCCTGCTGGACTGAAGCTTCTGTTGGAGACTAAGGCAAGACCTAGGTGAGGGTCAAATGATTAATTTCTCTACCATGATCTGCTTTTTTGTTATAGTTTCTTACCCCATTTGGACATCCTTTGAAGCAAGATTACTGTTTTAGATGGAGCTGGTTTTGCAGTTTGTCCCCAAAAGCTGAAGGTTGAGTGTATTTCTCACCATGCATCACATGGTGGAGAATTCAAGGACATGCAGTCCCACAGCATGTGATCCCTGCCCAGGATGTGGTGGGATTATTTCAAAATCATTGCAGGAATTTGTTGATGCAGTGTCTGTATAAACAGCAAATGCTTGGTGTAGACATGTCCCTATTGAATGCAAATTACCAATATTATTTTTATGCTGTGGATTAGCAATCTTTTCCATGAAGTTACTTAATATCAAGGTTTTTAAGTACTTTTCTCAAATTTGTTTTCATTTGTTCAGATGAAGAGGTCAATGTTTCCATTTCCAACTGAAAAAAATGATCGAAGTGTAATTTCTGCAAAAA